GCGACCATGCCAAAACATGCATCGACCATATCCATTTTGTCACATTTTTTATTTTTATCCTATCAAGGTACCATAACCAAAGAATCATATTGATATCTTCACTGAAAGTATTTTTGGCCGCTGTTCCCATACGACCTCGACCACTGTGCACTGTAAAAGTTTTGAACGAACAGAGAGAAAAAAAAATTATTTGAGAGTTAGCTTTCTTCGCATTCTGTTATTGTACCAAACTTGTACTTACTTTTAAATATTCCAAATAAAATTCCAATACTAACTTGTTTAAAATCTCCATATTTTCCATTTTTTTTCTCTATTTCTTTGCGTTTATATTTCTTAATGTTGAGTTGACAAATTGTTGTGATGTGATTTTTTTCTTATAACTTTTTTTTATTGTGTATTTATGTGTTGTTTATGTTTTATTATAATATTTAATGACTAGATGAATTCGAGTTTCCCCATTCTAATGTTTTTGATTTTCTCAGAAATAAACCATGAAATTCCTTGTTTTTTGTTTCTTATAGGGGGGTGTTAATTAATAATAAAAAGCATGATTCTAAGTAAATATTTTTCAGTTTTTTTGTTTTGTTGGTAATATTTTTACGTACATTTGTATGAATGGATGTCAATGTATTTTTTTTTGTTTGGTTAAAACGTGTGTTATTTCAATCTTTGGTATTTTCATTCATTCATGCTAAAGTAGTTTGGAACTGGACGTATTATCATTTTTTTTTACTTTTTTGGAGAAAAATATTGTTTTTTTGGGTTTTTTCATTACTATATCGTTGGTGGTGTGGTGTTTTTCTGGTTTTCGTAATTATTTCCTATGGAATCTACTGTTTCTTTCGTAGGTTATGGTGTTTTAAGTTTCGTTCATTTGTTGTCGCTATTTGCTTTTAGGTTTTATCCATAAACTAATTCTATTTACTATTTCTTGTGAGTTTAAAGATGAAACTACAATTTTAGGAGAAAACAACTTTTGGAAATTGGAGATGAAAATTGTTTTAATTTGTTATTATTATTTATTTGTATGTAGAGGAAACATGAAACGCTTGAGTCTCTTTTCTTATTAGTTCTTTCAGAAATCTTAGTTTGTTTTTCGTATTTCAGGGTTTTGGAGATATTAATAAGTCTTGGTAGGGATAATGACCATGTAAGTTGAAATAGAAGAAACCAAATAAGGACTTAATATAATATAATATAATATACATAAATAACTACCGACACATACGTACATAAATATACATATATAGTAAGTTGTAATCTAAAATTAACTTATTAATTATTTTTTGTTATCATACAACTAATTGACACCAATCTTTGCTTTGTCTTCCAGAATCTCATCTGCTGCCACATATTCATACACACACACACACACAAATACACTTTGTGTAAACCTGCATTTAATTTCAAAGCCTTTTTAAGACTAAAGGCTAAATGTGGGAATTACAACATATACATACGTACCTACAACTTATCTATATTCTGCAAATCCTTGTCTCAGGGGGCCTTTTGAAGTTATACACATAAATAAATCCAAAATTCAAGAGATATACACAGAAAACATTGGTTTATAATGTAGATTAGGAATTGAAATTAATATTTTAAATGGGAAAAATGCATTTGTCTTTTTTTTTTTTGGTAACATTTTTATGAAGTATACTTTTCACCAACTAAGGGGTTATCTCGGGGAACTGATGGAAATCATAACCTCAGAGAGATCGATTATGAAGATTATTTTTTTTTCAAAAGTATCATTTTTTTCTATGAAAATTTGAGGTAAAAAATATTTTCTTTTTAACATTTTTTTTATTTTTAATAAAATTTTCTTTAAAAAAGTATTCATTTCACATTTATATGGGATAAGAATCAAGCCCTTGGGCTTGATTCTTGATCTAGGAAAATATGAAATGAAAACTATTTCCTAGGCCTTACGATTGGGCCATAAAGGGAACTATATCCAGGGACTGGATTCCTGTTTTATAAAAGAAACGAAATAAAAAATATTTTCTTTATAACAGCTTTAATTTGATATTTCCTTTTGTGCAACTAGTTCCCAAAGTTCCTTTAGTTCACCTAGTTCATAATGAAATATTTTATTTTATTATATTGTAGGAGCCATGGTAGAATAATACAGGTAGTCGCATCGACACAGTTGCTGGGACAATTTGGAATTGAAACCAGTAAAGAAAGTCTTAAAGTCGGGCGGGGCCGACTTTATGATACCCTACACCACTTTGCTAATTTAGTAGAGCTCCACATAACAATTAAAAGTTTTTATTGGAGAATTCAATCATGCACGCTATGATTATAATTATAATTTAAAGTTCAAAGGACTAAATATGGCGAAGCATTTGTATCTTTTAAATTCGGAACTGTATTGCCCATTTGGTGCACAATTAATTTGAAATCGGATAAATATATATATGGGAGCTATATCCAAATCTGAACCGATCTCGATAAAATTTGGCAAAGATATGTCTGAGCTGTATTTGATATATTTCCCTGAATATCGTTGTTACGAAGTGCGTATTACGGTTGTGGGCAACAAATATAACAAATCGGACGAATAATATATATGGAAGCTATAGCTATATCTGAACCGATCTTCACCATACTAGCTTCTAGACTCAATTCGGTCGTAAGTGCCAAATTCCATCTGATTTGGACAAATATTAGACGTTTGGTGCACAATAAAAGGTAAATCGGACGAAGTTATATATGGAAGCTATATCCAAATCTGAACCGATCTCGATAAAATTTAGCAAATGTATTTCTGAGCTGTATTTGATATATTTTCCCAAATATTGTTGTTACAGAGTGCATATTACGGCTGCGGAGGACAAAAATAACAAATCGGATGAACAATATATATGGGAGCTATAGCTATATCTGAACCGATTTCGATCAAATTTGGCTTACATATTTTCAGGCCTAATTTGGGTGTATATGAAAAATTCCATACAATTCGGGCTGATATTACACGTTTGGTGCACAATGAAAGGCAAATCGGACGAAGATATATATAGGAGCTATATCTAAATTTTGACCGATTATCTCCAATTTCAATAGGGTTCGTCCTTGGTCCAAACAAATGATCTGTGCAAAATTTCCTCTGGATCGGGCAATAAATGCGGCCTGTACTTTGTTTACAAAAATGCATAAATCGACTCAGAATGTGATTCTATGCAGATCATCAAAAGGAACTATGAGTCTATCTCGTTTCCTTTTGCCTGTTACAAACAAATGCACAAAGACATAATACCCTGACCACCTTGTGGTATGGGGAATAAAAATTGTTGAAAAAAAAAAAAACGCATATCATAACACTCCCAGGCAGAGCTACCAACTGATTACAATTTTTTCTAAGTGTGACCGACTTGTGCTAAATTCTTTTTGTGCAACTAGTTCCCGAAGTTCCTTTAGTTCACCTAGTTCATAATAAAATATTTTATTTTATTTTATTGAAGGAGCCATGATAGAATAACATAGGTAGTCGCATCGACACAGCTGCTGGGACAATTTGTAATTGAAAATTATAAATGGAAAATTATAGCAATTTGCAAAAATTGTTGAAAAAAAAACGCATATCAGAGCTACTAACTGATTACAATTTTTTCTAAGTGTGCCCGACTTGTGCTAATTTTGTGCATATACTTATTGTTTTGAAAAATAGAAACAAAATATTTTCAAAGTCAATTATTAAATTTATTAACCAGTTTTGGCGTGGAGTTAAAAATAGTCGGACAGCCACTCGTCCGACAGCTGATCGAAAACCGCGTCGCAGTGGCCGAAAAATGGCTCGTGAGCTAAATATATCACAATATTCCATTCGGCAAACATTGAAAAATGAGCTCGGGGTAAATCCTTGAAATTCCAAAAAGTGCAAGAACTTACACCGCAACGGAAAGAAAATTGACTCAAGAGATATGAAGAGTTGCTTTGATTGGCCGAAAATGGTGAATGGGGATACCAAAATCTTCGGAAACCAATCCGTTGGACTATTGTATCTGGAGTATTTTGTAAAGCTAGGTTGGCACTAAAAAATACCAAAGTGTCGACCACCTCAAGCAAGCGCTACGCCGGGAATTGGCCAAAATACCACAGAACAACATTCGGGCAGTGTGTGACGGTTTTATTGTTCGTTTGAAGGCCATAATTCGTGCCAAATCGAACAAATCTAAACTTATTCTAAAAGTTGACGCTATTTCCGACATTTTTTGCTTTCATTTAATAAATTTTAAGAATTATGGTTTTTGACTTTCTTGCAGTTTTTTATCTCATCCTATAGTTTCCATATCGATCCTCTCTGTGAACTCTAAAGTTTTGATAATATCGGATTGATTGTGAAATTTCAGAATCTGTTTTCCGAGTTACAAACAAGCATAAGAGACCATGGCGAAAAGTATACTTTGCATCTTATTGGCCAAAATGCCAAGATTATTTTCTTACAAACTAACTTATATATTTATGTTTATAAATAATTCCTAGCCGTTTTGAATTCATTCCAATCCTTCATTTCATATATATTTCGTGCTTGTGATGCTAATAAAACTCTACCTAGAACTATTCAAAAAAATGTCATAACATTTTTACCATTTGTCATTTGCTTCGTTTTCGCTATACTTTTGTAATATCTCAACAATCATTAACAGTTTCAGCTTTGTAAGAGTGTCACACTATATAATAATCTCAATAATAATCTCAAAATATTTTTTGTTTATTTACTTAGAATCCTTGTCCATGTTTATGGCTTTCGTTTCAATTAAAATTTTTGAATAAAAATTTCATTTTTTCCAATAACTACAAACTAATAAATCTAAAGTTATTTTTTGGTTTCTTATCGAATATATAAAAAATCAATTCAATTTCAGTTGAGTTCAATTAAAAATATGTCCCATTTCCCGTCAAGGGACTTGCTTTTTGATTTCAGTTTTTGGTTTCTTAAAAAATTACCCTGTTAAACTATTCCGTGCTAATTTTCTTTTCTATGTTTTTCTATGTTTTTGTTTGTTTTTTTTTTTTTTTTGTTTATTTTGCCTCCATTCTGTGACCCTTTAAATTCGCTAACTAAAATATTTTAGACCGGCAATCAATAGGAATTTCTCAATAAACAATTCCGAATCTAATACAGCAATATGGGCAGCCCTGCCAATTAGAGTATTGGCGGTATGTGGCAAGGCATGATGTACATCGTAACGGGTCAAAGTCAGTTCAGGTCGTGCCAAAATCGGTGCAATTATATTGTTGACCATTTCTCTGTAAAAAAAAAACAAATTTTTTTTTTATTATAGAGTAAGGCATTGCCGAAGATTTCGATTCGATTTACCTATAAATAACTCCCAAATTGGAATTGTCTCTTATTGCTGCCTTGCACAATTCCAAACGAGCCGAGTGTGCCGGCACATAACGATCTTGACTGGATCCGCAGAGTAGTATATTCTTGAAATGATGCAAGTTACTACGCTGGCTGAGACGATACAAGAAACTTTTGCGCATATCGCTGGTGTCACGCATACACAGTTGCAGCAGGGAGCCGGATTTTTTCCATTTCTGCATAAACCACATGCCTGAAAAATACGAAAAAATAAATAATTTACATAAAAAAATTAATTAGCAATTTCCAAAGTAGAAGCATGTGAAGATGGTCTGGACTACCTATTCAGGGGCCAAATCAATAAAAATTGGGTGCCACGTTTGGAGTGGTTTTCTGCGAGAAATGTTAACTAGGGGGGAGAGTACATAAAAGGCTTTTTTGACTGGCTTAAGGAATAAAGAAGTTTTAGGTTGACTTACTTCAATTTCGGCCCTAGGCTCCTTTGTTCCTTTCCGAAGAAGCCAGTCGATGACTTAAGCCAGTCAGAAAAGCGTTTTATGTATTCTCACCTTAACTTTCTTAGATATAACGTCAAGCGGAATGCCAGGAAGAATCCATTACAATAGAGTCATTGAATCAACATGAATAGTAGAAGGCTTTCAATTTGTATAACGAGCAGAACAATACGATCTCTCTGTACAAAATGGTGTAGGTAAATTAAGTTAAGGCGAAGGTAAATTACAGTAGCCAAAAGGCTCTTTCAAGGTTTTTCGACGGCTCTTAAATCTCAACTGTAGTTATATCGTCGTGCCAAATCGAGAGTTGTAAGCAGGATCAACAACCAAAAACAATGCAATGTATAGGAGACTGGGATCTCTGGAAGGATAAAATAGATGGGTATCATTCTGCAAGATAAATTTGACTTCTGGTAGACATCCTGTGTAAGTCCTTCGACACCCTTTGTAAGTCTTGTATGTCCTTTCCTTATTCTTGAACGTTCTTGTAGTCTGTGTAGCTATCGCAACTGTAGCTTGGAATATTTTTGTAGTCTGCTTGAGTACTCATAAGGATGTCTTGCAACCGTATCCTTGAATATCCTCGTAGTCTGCATAAATACTTATTAAGGTATCTGAAAACCGTATCATTGAATATCCTTGTAGTTGTTTGAGTACTGCAACCGTAGCTTTGAATATACTTGTAGTCTGCTGAGTATTTAATTAGGTCTCTCGCAATCGTGTCCTTAGATATCACTGTAGTCTGCTTGAGTACTTATTAAGGTCTCTCGCAATCATATCCTTAAATATTCTCGTAGACAGCTTGCTTTGAATATCCTTGTAGTCTGTTTGAGCACTTACTAAGGTCTCTCATAACAGTATCCTGTAGTCTGCTTGAGTATTTATTAGGACCTCATGCAATCATAGCCTTCAATATCCTTATATAGTGGTTTCTATTTACCTGTATCAACATTAGCTGCGCATTGGCCTTTGCAGACCAAAAAACTTTTTTATGCCTTTTTTCTGAATCCCTTTATTTGAATTGTATTTAATTGCCCAATCGATAGCTGCACATTGGACATTCCTGCCTCGAAAATTTGGTATTTCTTTTTAATTTGGTTACAAAAGTTGTATTTATCTGCACAAGAAAATTTTTTGCAAACTCAAAAAAGACACTAAAAACTAACACTTCGTTTTTGTTTTTGTATTCGCAAAAACAATAACAGCACAAGAAAAGAGCATGCAAGTAATGATAGAATTATCATTACACACAGTTTTAATAAATCAAAATTATTGCTTCTCTCTCTCCTCTCTCTCTTTTTTGAATTAAACGCTCTCCCATTTAATTTCTCCCTCACACTCATCTTTTTGTTATTACATTAAAATATTTAATGAACTGTTATTTTCACATTTTGTACTTTCCTATTCTTAGCTTTATGTTCTTTAAATATTTTGTTTTTATAAGTCAGTCTTAAGTTGACATTCAAATTGTAAAGTCATTTACGGAAAAGAATAAATTGAATTTTAATAATAATAAATATGTTAAAGTGTTTTATTTAAAAATACATAACTGGCGCAGTCAAAGAAAAATCGAACCTTACATTCAAAACTTAAGTTTTAATGGCTAATAATAAATTTTATAATAATTAAGAAACTGTGAATGAGCTCTGTGTTAAAGTGCAAATAACTCAAGTTTTCAAAAATAAAAGAAAATAAAATTGCATTTAAAGAAAGAGAAAATATAAGCTATTTAATTCCCTTTAATATAACTGTTCGAAGTAACATATTTTATGAGCAGAAATAATTTTGATACAAAAAAGTATTATGTAATCATGCAAAATTAAGACACAGAAAAATTATTGAAGAACTACAAAACTTCAAAATATTCTGACTACAAATAATGCAACAAATAAAACAACTCAAAGAGAATCAGTAAAACAAAAAATTATAACAGTGACTATCTTTCAAACCAAATTAAAACAACAATCATGGAGTCGTCATCTAATCAAAACAACAACATACAATTATCACTTGTTATCTCAGTGAATGATGTGCTCAAAGACGCACAAAGAATTAATGTGTTCCGTGGAGACAACACTTTTGCTCTTACATCTTTCTTAAGAGAAGTCGACACTATACTTGGGTTGGTTCAAAATGATGCTGGAGCAAGAGAATATATATACAAGAGAGTTGTGCTTAACAAACTACAAGGAGAGGCGCTCCATGTGCTGAGATCGTTGGGGCCTAATCCGGTTTGGAGCGAGACAAAGAAAGCATTGATACAAAATTTTGGCGTAAAAGAGTCATATCATCAACTTTACCAAGAGGCGTTTGGAGCAAAGAACCATGGTATTTCTAATTATTACTCTCTTTTATTATCTATTTTATGTAAAATAAATGAAAAATATGAGTATGACCCTGACAAGCCGTCAGAGTTTAGCCCTGAAAATTCTGAAAAAATAATACTAAGAACTTTTTTAAACAACATTGATGTAAATTTGGCTTCAGTTGTTATAAACAGAAATGTATCAAAGTTAAGAGATGCGTACAATTTACTTGAGCAACAAGGTCTTATTAGAAATAACGTACACAAAACATTCAATAACAATCAGATTGTGAAACACCCTAACTTTAATCAAAACATAGCCCAAAATAGTAATTATAATAATCAGACTCGTAGTAATAATTTTAGGAATACAAGATCAGGAGTTAGTAATAGCAACCAATCCCGAAATCTACAATCAAATGTCAATTCTTATTACACTCCAAATTTTAGCAATCGAAATCAACATTTTCAATCCAATTTTCAAAATTTTTCGAATCGTCATAACAACAATAACAATCAAAATTTTAGTAACCAAACAAGAAATTCAAATAGTCAATATAATTCTCAATATAACAATAACAGAAGCAAATATGGGCACTCAGATCCTGTTGAAATGGAAATTGATCACCTCGATGCAGTTGTTCATTGTCCTGAGGAAGGGGAAGATCATGTAAATTTTCATTTAATTGCCTCAAAAAGGCACTTCCAATAGTAAGGCTTACAATAGGGAACTCACAAATTAAAGCTTTGATAGATACGGGATCAACTACTTCCTTGCTAGATGAAAGAAAATTACAACAATATGAAAGAAAGCCTCTTAAAGAGAAAATATATTTTTCATCACTTAATAACAAAACAGAAATTTCATATGAAATTATTACTGAGCTACCTTCAGAATTTGGAGAAAATGCCACGATGTCTTGGAAATTAACCGATTTTGGCGATAAATATTTTGATGCGATTCTAGGACAGAATATTTTACAGCCTTTAGAAGCGCAAATAGATTTAGGATCAGAAACATTAATTATCAATGGGAGGACGATATCATTTTTTAAATACTGCCCCTATAAGTCGGAAGAAATACATCAATTAGAGCATTTAGCAATTGACGAAACTGTAATGCAACATCTATTTTCCAACTTGAACAAAGACGAGGCATCAGCATTAGAAAAGATTTTAAAGTTGTATAGTGATGTAATATACACTGATGACCAAATATTGGGTAATACCGAGATCGTACAACACGAAATAAAGACAATTGCAGACAAAATAATTTATACTAAAATGTATCGGTATCCTCACGTTTACGAAGCAGAAATTTCCAATCAAATAGACGACATGCTTAGACAGGGTATTATTGTGGAAAGTAATTCTCCCTATAACAGCCCACTGTGGATAGTACCAAAAAAAGTAGATTTTTCCGGGGAAAAGAAATTCAGATTGGTTATAGACTACCGCAAATTGAATGACATTACGACGGATGATAAGTTCCCAATACCGAACATTGAAAATATACTAGATAAATTAGGTAGAGCACAATATTTTTCTACTGTAGATTTGGCAAAGGGATTCCACCAAATTTTAGTAAAACCTGAAGATAGATGTAAAACTGCATTTTCCACGCCATACGGGCATTACGAATTCGTCCGGATGCCTTTCGGGTTAAAAATGCACCAGCCACTTTTCAACGGTTGATAAATAGGGTTCTTCGAGATTTCATCAATAAAATATGTGTCGTGTACTTGGACGACATCCTTATATTTTCTACAAGTTTCGAGGAACACATTTCGAACATTAATTCTATTTTTAAAAAGTTACGAGAAGCAAATTTAAAAATCCAAATTAACAAATGTACATTTTTTGCAAAAGAAACAATGTATTTAGGCCACTTACTGACAACATCTGGTGTAAAGCCTAATCCTTCAAAAATAGAAACCATTTTAAAACTTAAACTACCCCAAAATATAAAAGGAATAAAGTCTTTCCTAAGCATGGCAGGATTTTACAGAAAATTTATCAAGGACTTTTCTAAAGTTGCTTTTCCGATGATAAAGTATTTAAGAAAGGGGGTACGACTTAACGTTAATGACAGTAATTACATAAATTCATTTGAAAAGTTAAAAAATATATTGACCCAAGCTCCGGTACTTAAGTACCCAGACTTTGGAAAGCCTTTCCAGTTATCCACAGATGCTAGCAATGATGCAGTTGGCGCCGTTTTACAACAAAACGGCCACCCAATCTGCTATGCCAGTAGAACTTTAAATCAGCACGAAAAAAATTATTCCACTACCGAAAAAGAGCTATTGGCAATAGTTTGGGCCACAAAATATTTTCGTCCCTATTTATATGGAGTAAAGTTTGAGGTCCTTTCAGATCACCAACCCTTAAGGTGGCTCTTTGTGAAGGCACAAAGCCGAGATTTAAATCCTC